GTCACTGCTGTGACCAAGCCGGAAGTCGACCAGGAAGGATATCATGACATCTAACAACCGGCAAATTAGCAAAACTAGCAGGATGCGAGAGAGGAAAGTGAAAAGAATGTAAATGGGAGAACGCGGGACAAATAGGGAAAGGAGGGAAGGGTTAATGGGATAGAATAAGAGAGACAGAAGGGAAGAATTACACGAGAAAGATGGATAGAAGAAAACTTGGAAGTCATCATCCCGGCTGCGTCCTAACAACTACAAGGGTGGGACATATTAACATAAACACCTGCTGACTGAACTGTCGAATTACTAAATAATTAATTTAAATGCGTTACAGGTCGCTTTCTGCGTTATCTTCCAAGACGATAATGCAACAACTCACACGTTATAGTTGTTCAAAACTGACATTAACAACATGAAAGTGAAGTGGAACACTTACATTGGCTCCACAATCGCTGGATCTAAATATTATCGAGCATCTGTGGGATCAACAGCAAGTCAGGAACCGATTTCCTCCACCGTCGTTTTTAGCAGAATTAGAACAAGTTTTGCTTGAGGAATAACTCAAAATTCCCCTGTATACTGTTCAGATACTATATGAATTAGTTCCTCTATGAACTGGGGCTGTTTTAGCAACAAATGGGAAACCAAATCCATAGATGCATGAGTCAAGGATAATAAAGCAAAAGGCTCGCTCCTCGTCCTCCACTCCTTCCGACAACTGCCGGAGTAAAAATCTAAGAAAAATTTACCATAGTATAAGGGAAAAATATCGCGGAATTTATAGGCTGGAGAGAGTGACTATAACTCCCTCTACTAGTGGGAGGGAGAGTGACTATAACTGCCTCTACTAGTGGGAGGGAGAGTGACTATAACTGCCTCTACTAGTGGGAGGGAGAGTGACTATAACTGCCTCTACTAGTGGGAGGGAGAGTGACTATAACTGCTTACTAGTGGGAGGGAGAGTGACTATAACTCCTCTATAGTGGGGGGAGAGTGACTATAATGCTCTACTGGGGGAGGGGGAGAGTGACTATAATGCTCTACTGTGGGGGGAGATGACTTTAATGCCTCTACTAGTGGGGGGAAGTGCTAAAATCCCTCATAGTGGGGGGAGAGTGACTATAACTCCCTCTCTGTGGGGGGGAGTGACTATAACTCCCTTAAGTGGGAGGGAAGGACATAAAGCCTCTACGGGAAAGGGAGAGTGATATAACTGTCCTATAGTGGGGGGGGAGAGTGACTATAACTGTCTCACTGTGGGAGGGAGAGTGATTTAAAACTGCCTCTAAAAGTGGGAGGGGAGTGTTATAATGCCCTTACAGTGGGAGGGAGATGACAATAACTGTCTTACAGTGGGGGGAAAAAAGGACTAAAAACTGCCTTACTAGTGGGAGGGAGAGGGGCTTAACTGCCTCAAATAGTGGGAGGGAGAGTGATTATAACTGCCTTACTAGTGGGAGGGGGGGGGCATAACTGCCTTACTATGGGAGGGAGATGATATAACTCCCTCTATAGGGGGAGGGAGAGGACTATAACTCCCCTTACTAGTGGGAGGGGGATGACTAAACGCCTCTATAGTGGGGGGGGGAGAGTGACAAACTGCCTTACTAGGGGGGAAGTGGCTATAACTGCCTCTACTTTGGGAGGGAGGGGGGGGTGATAAAACTGGCTCTACTTTGGGGGGGAGAGTGACTATAACTCTCTATATGGGAGGGAAGTGACTATAACTTCTCTATAGGGGAGGGAGAGGACTATAACTGCCTCTACTATGGGGGGAGGTGACTTAACGCCTCTAAGGGGGGGGGGAGAGTGACTATAATGCCTCTACTAGTGGGGAGGGAAGTATTATAATCCCTCTACTAGGGGGAGGGGAGGAATATAACTGCCCTACTATGGGAGGGGAGGGGACTATAACTTTACTAGTGGGAGGGAGAGTGACTAAAACGCTCTACTAGTGGGGGGGAAAAGGGGATAAAAACTGCCTCTCTAGTGGGAGGGAAGTGAAAATAAACTGCCTCTACTTGGGGGGGGAGAGTGACTAAACTGCCTATGGGGGGGAGGGAGAGGGGGACTTAACTGCCTCTACTAGTGGGGGAGGGAGAGTGACTATAACGCTCTACTAGTGGGAGGGAGAGTACTATAACTGCTCTATAGTGGGAGGGAGATGATTATAACTGTCTACAGGGGAGGGAGGGTGATAAACTGCCTCTACTATGGGGGGGAGAGTGACTATAACTGCCCCACTAGTGGGGGGGAGGTGACTTTAACTGCCTTATAGGGGGGGGAGAGGCTATAACTGCTCTCTAGGGGGAGGGAGAGTGACTATAACTGCCTCTACAGTGGGGGGGGAGATGATTATAACTGCCTCATAGTGGGAGGGGGGGAAGTGACTATAATGCCCACTGTGGGAGGGGGGGGGTGCTAAACGTCTCTACTAGTGGGGGGGGGAAGTGCTAAAAACTGCCTCTATAGTGGGGGGAGAGGACTATAACTGCTCTTTAGGGGGGGGGAGAAGTGACTATAACTGCCTCTATAGTGGGGGGGGAGAGGATAATAACTGCTTACTAGTGGGGGGGAAGTGACTTAACGTCTCTACTAGTGGGAGGGGAGAGTGACTATAACTTCTTCTATGGGAGGGAGAGTGACTAAAACGCCTTTTACTAGTGGGGGGGAGGGGAATATAATGCCTCTCCTAGTGGGAGGGAGAGTGACTATAACTGCCTCTACTAGTGGGAGGGAGAGTGACTATAACTGCCTCTACTAGTGGGAGGGAGAGTGACTATAACTGCCTCTACTAGTGGGAGGGAGAGTGACTATAACCCTCTACTAGTGGGGAGGGAGAGGACTATAATGCCTACTATGGGAGGGGGAGAGTGACTAAAAACCTGCCTCTATAGGGAGGGGAGTGATTATAACTGCCTCTACTGTGGGAGGAAGTAAATATAACTGCCTCTCTAGGGGGGAGGGAGAGTACTATAACGCCTTACAGTGGGAGGGAAGTGACTATAAGCCTTACTAGGGGGAGGGAGAGTGATTAAAACTGTCTCTACTGTGGGGGGAGAGTGACTATAACTGTCTACTAGTGGGAGGGAGAGTGATATAATGCTCTACTAGGGGGAGGGAGAGTGACAATAATCCCTCTACTGGGGGGAGGGAGGTGACTAAAACTCCCTCTAAAAGTGGGGGGGGAGAGTGCTAAACCCCTTACTAGT